AAAACACTGTGCACAAGCAGAGTGATTTGCCTGAAGTGACAGAGCAACCCAGGCTGACCCATTCCCTCACTAACAAACGGGAAGTAGAGCAGAACTCAGCTGAACAACACCAGAGCAATGAGGGCATTCAGTTACCCACAAACATAAGACAACCCAGACCCGTCATAAACGCTGAACTACAGTTGGCCTGTGCAACAACCCAGGTGGGCCTGCAGTGAAGTAGCGCATTTGACTGCACCAGTGGGTGCCTTTCCCCAGCAGCTATTCACTTCCACACACAGATTTTTGGGCTCTTCTCAGACAAAGCACTTGCATGCTCAGTTGCCTTCTTTTGGGGTTTGGAGGTGGAGAACTGAATGACAATTCAAATGCTGATCCCAAAAGCAACTGCAGAATAGATGTAAAACCTGTGCAGCCATAAGGGCACCAAGCAAGTTGTCCTGGGTTCAGCATTAGCAGTCATTTTTCTCCTTCTTTGTAGCTGGGAACAGATCTGATAACAATGATGTTTTGGTTTGGCCAAGGACTTTGTGAGCCTCATGCTCTGCCAGGGAGGAGGGGAAGCCGGGAGGAAGCAGAGGCAGGACACCTGACCCAAACTGACCAAAGAGGTATTCCATACCACAGCACGTCATGCCCAGGATGTAACTGATGGTTACCCGGAGGGGCTAAGACTGCAGGGTTGGAGGAGGCATCGGTCGGTGCTTGGTTGGGTTGGGGGGACGAGCTGGCAGTCGGCTGGCGGTGAGGTGCTGTATTCTCTTCCCTTGTTCTTTCCTTTATCATTGTTATTATTGGTGGTGGCAGTGGTGGTTTGTGTTCTACCTTAGTTGCTAGACCGTTCTTGTCTCAACCCGTGGGAGCTGCATTCTTTTCGATTCTCGTCTCCGTCCCTCCGGGAGTAGGGGGAGGGTGGGAAGGGAGGGAGGGAGTGAACGAGTTGCCTGACTGGGTTTAAACCACGACACAAGTATAGAAGAAGATCCAGGTATCCACGGCAAAACGGTTGCTAACGGCGGCCCGGCCGCAGACACGGTCCGTCCTCAGAGAACCTGTCCCACTGCTACTGCCTCGGGTGAGCACCAGGGGAGGACCAGATTGGATACTCCTTCCGCTAAAGGCGGCGCTGACCATTGTGTCCCCGCAGAGCCCCGCCACAGACCTGCCGGTACCCGCTGCCACTGGACCGGTGCCCTGGGATGATTTTCCTGCCGGTACTATCAGGTGCCCAGGGGCTTGCCACGGGCCCGCCACCCAGACCCGCTCTGCAGCAAAACAGGAACCTATTCTCCCCTTCCCACTCTGCCTTGCCCAGTCGGCTCAGGGGAAAGGTTTCCTCCAGGTTGTATCAGGAGGGAAGAGTTTGCTTTGGCTGTGGGGACCTCAGAACAACTGGGTTCTGAGAGGTCCTGAGAGGAGAGGGAAGGAGGTAGCAAAGAATAGTGCCGGACTTGTGGTGAGCATCCAGCTTCTGCAGCAAAACAGTGCCTGGGATGCTGTGGGAAGCAGCTGTAAGAGCTGAAGGAGGGACGGGACGGGCTGCCTCGTATGTGAGCAATGCTCTTGGCTGGAGCAGGGCAGCCAAAGCACCGCTGCACAGGGGGCACCCCGTGTCCAGCCTCGGGATTCTCCTCACCAAACACTCCCCAGTTTGCAACCATGGCCAGGTGGGTACGTGGAGCCAGGACGCAACCGCTGCCCAGCGGCTGCTGCGTGGCCTTCCATGCTGCTTGCGAAGGACACCATGGCCTTGGAATTGTGGTTGGAGCTTTAATCAAAAAGTCACATTTTCTTAAGCAGGGCTTAACTGCTGCCTGGCTTTTCAGAGTCAGGAGCACAATGCCTACAGGGTCCGCCTCCGTCTTTTCTGCATCCATATATAGGTCAGGATGTATATTGTCTGTTGTACCAGGGATGAGACCTGACATTCCTCTTCTCCTGTCAAAGGATGGAGTGCTGCAACAGACGGAAAAAGAGCAGAGCTGAAACCCACTGATCTGCAGAGACCCACAGGCATCTCTTCCAGACCATGCCAGCCCCAACCATCCCTTTCCCTGGTCAGGAGGCGCAGGCAGACAAATGGATCACCTGGAAGCTGCTGCTCAGGATTACAGCAAATGCCCCCAAGATGTTCCCTGGAGCAGGACAGCAGGACAGCACGCTGCCCAGGCTCTGTCCCCTGTCCCCGCCAGCCCCATCACACACAGCACTGCCCCTACTCACCCTTGAAGATCTCCTGCAGCGTGTCCTTGCTGCTGTCATTCAGGTACCGCGCAGCCAGTCCTGTGCAGAGAGCTCGGTCAGACCTGCTGCCGGCCAGCACACTCCTGGTATCGTGGCCCCGGCTCTGACGGTTGGGCTGAACCCCTTCCCTCCCCTCAGTGGGGTGACCCCAGGGAAGGACAGGACCCGAGGGGAGGTGCCACTGAGCAAGGTGCCACTGAGCCCTGCTGCCAGGCCAGGGGTAGGAGGGGGAAGCACAGAGCCCCTGGCTGCACAGGCCCTGTACAGGGCAGCTGGGGCTCTGGCAGCCACAGGGCTGCTCCTCGCTGCCAGTGCAGCAGATGGGACTGGGGCCAGGCTGCCATAAGGGGGACTCCAGGGACTGCGGCTCACCGATGAACCTCACGGCTGCCATTCGCACGGTGACCTGAGCGTGCTGCAGATAAGGCATGCTTTGACGCACATATTCTTCAGCCCTGCTCCGGTCGTGCTCCAGCTGGAGAGAGCAAAAGGGCGCAGGGATGATACACACCCTCCCCAGTTACCTGGGACAGTCCCCCTTCCCAGCACCCCACACACCCCCCTTCATCCTCAGGACATTTGCATCTCCCAGCCAGGAGCCCTGTGGGGCTGAGGTTCAAGAGACAGCTACATGCAAAGCAGGGTCTGGAGGTCCCGAGAGCCCTTTGTGCCGCTGCAAGGGCCCAGATGGGTCTCCTGCAACATCCTGAGGGTGGAGAGGTGAGCCCTTGGGAGCTCTGCCTGAGCCCTTGGGAGCTCTGCCTGAGGGCAGGGAAGGAGGATGCAGCACCAGGCTACAGGCTCTGGGCTGAAGCACTGCAGGCGAGGCACCACTGCACAGGGGCACCCCATGTACAGCCTGGGACTTATCCTCACCAAGCGCTCCACAGTTCTCCATCTCTCCAGTGCCTGCACGTGGTGACTGAGCCATTTCCATTTGAGCACCTTTGCAGCTACACAGAAGGCTTCGTGAGAGGCCTGCAGAGGAGGACAAGGATTGGGGAGATTGTGGACAGGGCTTGCGGCCCAAAGCCCTGGCCCCCAGCACCTGCAGGGACAGCTGGGTAGTCCCTGGGGACTCTGCTCTTCAGGCCTTGGTGGCCATGGGCTGCTGCTGAGCCCTGCTGGACCACATAGGGCAGGCGTGGCAAATGTCCCTGCCAGCTTCTCCTGCCCTCCCTGCTGCCCAGGCCACCCCCGCGGGCTCAGCATGCCCTTCCCCACACCACTGCTCAGGTTTGCAATCTGTACCTTGGCCACACTCTCAGTCTCATCACTCATGTGCAACACGAGTGGGACCAGGCTCCCCTGCACGTTCTTCCGCATCTGCCGCTGGTGCTTCCAATCCGCCATCTGTATTACTTCTTTGAATAGGCAGATGGAGAGCTCTCGCACCTGGCTGGACACCTGGTGAGGAGGAGGAGGACAGAAGGGCGTCAGTAGCAGCAGCTCCCTGAGCAAGGGCGTCAGCGTGGCTGAGGGGAGGGGTTTCAGGTCTCCCAGAGCCATCAGCAAGTCAGGGAGAAGCTGAGCTGGGCTGCAGAGCCCAGAAGGCATCCCCGTGAGAGCGCAGGGGCATGAGGAGGGGCACAGCCCCATGCAAGTGCTGCCGCCAGGCTCTGCTAACAGGCACTTGTCCTTGCAAAGGGCCCATCAGTGAGGATCAGGCTTCCATAGCAGCCTTACATCATCAAACAGTTGCGGGAGATTCTCGGCCAGCTGCAGAGCAGTGGAGATGTCCTTCTTCTTCAAATGACCCATCACATTTCTGAAAATGAGCAGCATCTTCTTTCTGTTCTTACTGTGGGCTGTCTGCAGCATGTATATCAAATCTGGCAGCAGGACCAGTATTTTCTTTGCCTGTACAAAGCACAGAATTCCTTGTATGTGAAGTGGCGAAGGACCACCCAGGCCAAAATGCTCTGGCCCTTAAGCACCAGACTCCTGCCTGGCTGACTGGGCAGTGGCACAGGAATCCCTGCAGCAGCCTCCTGGCAGGCCATCCCCATGGTGCACTGAGGGGATCGGGGCCTGTGACTGGACGTTGAGGGCATTTGGAGCCGTGACCCCAGCTCCCGATTCCCAGCCCTGGTCAAGCCGCCGCGTTACCCACTGCCCAGCCCCAGGAGGCCAACACGGCTTCCCTTGCCTATGCCCTGCTCACCGTGTCAGGTGACTGTGACAACGTGATGAGGCCTGTGAGCGTCAGCGAGAACAGCACCACATTTTGACACCACGGGAACTTCTCCCTGTTGTACACCCCAGCGAATTTCTCTGGTGTCACATCGCTGCAGGCCAGGAGCTGAAACAAAGATGGCAGTGAGGGACCGGCCGAGCCTGCAGGGCTCCCGGCACTGTGCAGCTCCTGGGTCCCGCTGGCAGCTCAGGACAAGGGCACCGGGGACAGAGAGCCCGTGCTGGGGGACACCAGCCGCACACCACACGCTTGTCTGTGCCGGCTCTGCTGGTGTAAGCAGAGCACTGACAGGGACTTTGTGCACCCGCACCCAAGCAGCGTGGCATGGCCCTGTGTGGCTGGCACAGGGGAACCTGGCGCTGGGCTGGCCCTAACGGGCTGCATCCCTGTTTCCCAGAGGAGGTGACTGTTTGGGGGCAGATGGCAGGGAAGAGGGCTGTGCCTGTGTTTCTGGAGAGGCAGGCACAGCCCTGAGTATGAGCAAGGACTGGTCTGGTTACTCACAGCCAAGAGCTGGATACAGAACTTCACTCTGCAGAATCTGCTTCCGATACGTAACTGCAGGTGCTGGAGGTTCCTTCTCAGCTCCCTCAAGACCTTCACCAAGATGAGGGGCTGGGACAGCAGCGCTTCCCACATGGCCTGAGCAACTTTGCTGAAAGAGAACACTGTCAGCAGGGCTGCCTTGGCCACCACACGGTGCCTGGGCCAGCCCTGCAGCAGCCAGGCTGTGCTGCAGCCCTGGCCCTTCCTGACCCCTCACTGGGAGTGCCCAGGTCCCAGATGGGGCAGGCAGGAGGGGGCTGAAACTGTTCCCTGTGGGGCAGGGAGGAAACTCGTGGCAGGCCTCGGGTCTGGCTTGGACAGCTTTGGCTACTGCAGGCCTGGCCAACCCAGCAGGGCAGGAGAGAGTGATGGGGTACAGGGCCCAGCTCCTCAGGGGTGTCCTGCAGTTTTCTGTGGGCCTCCACGTCCCTCTCCCCACATGGAACAAACCCACGAGGGCTGTGGGGGTCAGTACCTGTTACATGCTGGAGAGATATCTATAAGGCTCAAGATCATCTCCCTGGGGTTCTGCTCTGCCATGCTTAGAAACAGCGACTTCAGGCTGCACCGGGCTGATGCTGCGCTGATGTGCTGCAAGTTGTTATAGATGCAGCGCGTGATGATCCGCACCTGGAGAGCACACGGGTGAGGGTGGTGCTGCCACCAGACTGCAGCCATTTCCTCAGCTGCTGCTGAAACAGCTGCCCTTCCCATCCTACTCTACTGGCATGAAATGGCTTCAAGGTGCCTGAAGCACCTGGGTGAGGGGAGATGGGATGTAGGGAGGAACAGTGCCTGGAAGGACTGGAGGACAGGGCAGCCACAGGCTGCTTACCTCTGTCAGCCAGGAGGCAGGTTCTGCCACGGCCATGTTCACAACGCTGATCAACTCTTCCTTGTCACATACGCATGAGTCTCTCATGGCCTCTATGGCCCTGAGGACGATGACTGCCTTATCAGGAGGGTGGAGGTATTCCCCAAATGCCTGCAGGAAGGAGGAAGGCGGGGAAGACGTGTTACACTGAGTGCCCTGATAGCGCTGCTCAGCTGGGCAGTGAGAGCAGCTCTGGCGAGAGGACCCACGGGAAAGCTGGCAGCAGGGGCTGGAGTCGTTGCGGAGTAGAGGATAAGAAGAGAGGTCCCTAGGTGAGAGAGGAGGGACCCTGGAGTGCAGCCCTCTGAAGTCCCTGCTCCAGAACAGCAGCAACCCTCTGACCAGGGACAGTGAGGTCATGCCAAGCCCGCTGGTTCTGGATCCCTTTGCTTACACCAGTCTCGTTCTGATGCCCCAGACAAGAGTCCCAGCAAGGAAGAAGCTCATTACCTTTGCCATGCTAATCGTGCTGCACAGAGAAAGACAGGAGGGTTTCCCTGCTTCCCTCTTCCCTCCATCCTGGGGATGCTCTGGATGATCATGACAATTGTCTGGTTGAGGTGACGTCATGCCTAAACATGAGGGGATCACGGAAAAGTCATTAGGACACAGCACTGATTACCATCAGTGACAGCTTTGGCTATGGGGACCATGGAACTGCTGGGTTCTGAGAGGCCCTGAGAAGAGTGGGAAGGAGAGCAGCAAAGAGCAGTGCCGGACTTGTGGTGAGCACTCGGCTTCTGCAGCAAAACAATAGCTGGGATGCTGCGGGAAGCAGCTGTGACGGGCAAAGGAGGTGAGGGAAGAGGGCAGGCTGCCCTGGACAGCCTCCAGCAAGCACAAAAAGAATCCACTACAATACTTGGGGAAACAAGCAGGACTATGAGGAGACGTCTGTGTGTGGAGGGATGAAGCCCACAGAGCTTCTCTTACATTTTTGGTGCTGGATGAATATGGAGAGGTGATGAAGAGCAACCAAAGCCTCCTGCTGGATCGCCCAGATCTTGCTAGTCCAGCAAACAATGAGACGTCCCAGCAGCTGTCCCAGCAAGCGGTCCTTGCTGATGTCATAGTGGGAAGAGCTGTGGTCGTGTCCAAGCAAGCTCCAGACCTGGGCAAGGGAGGCAGGACAGGTAGAAGGGCTGAGGGGCAGCAGCGCAACAAAAGCTCCGAACCTGAGACTGCCCCAGGGAAGGATCCTGGAGGGTCGGAGTTGTGCAGGGCCCTCCCAGAGCAGCGAGCTGGGCAGCCGGGCAGGGAGAGCTGCCAGGCCTGGCCTCCCGCCATGCTCCTTGGGCAGTGCTGACCTGCACAGGACTGGGGGCCAAGATGGCTGCTGGCAGAAAGGGCACTGGGGAGGAAAAAACATGGGAAAAAGAGAAGCCGAGACCCTTGCCCAGGGCAGAGCCGTGCTGAATGCCTCAGGCATCTTGAGCCGCAGGCTGCTGCCCACGGTGGGCAGGGAGTGGGAGACAGCCTGGCTGGAGGGTGCCTGCCTCCCTACCTGCACTGAGGAAGAGCTGGCCATCAAATCGGCCAGCTTTGCGATCCTTGCCACGGCCCGTTCACATACAGCTGGGTGCTTGATGTTGATGAAGGGCAGCAGCATCTGGAAGGAGAGAAAGTGCTGCTGTGCCCTGGGAGCTGGTGCCCGTGCCAGCAGCAGCAGCAGCAGCACTGCTCAAGTCCTGGCTGGACTCATGCAGTCCTTGTGGCCCTGAAGGGAGGCAGATGCCACCCCAGGGTAGAGTCTGCTTCTTTCTGTGCCCTCCCCGTGAGCACAGGCCTGTGTTCCCTCTCCGTGAAGGCTGGGCTTTTGGGCAGCACCCTCCCGGGGGGCGGTGATCCTGCAATGGGGGAATGGGCGTACGGCTCCCTGAGAAGTCAGGAGTGCCGAACTTCAGAGCTGGGCTCCCTGTGCAGGACAGGCAGGTCCCAGTGGGTCTCTGCCCCGGTCAGACCTGGGCGGAAAAGCAGGAGGGACTGCGAGGCATGGGAAGAAGGGCAGCACCCGCTGCCACTGCTGCGGTGCCTGAGGAGAGGGGTCAGTGCCTCCCGCTGCTTTGGTGCGAGGAAAGTTCTGGGGATGGAGCTGGCCCACAAGTGCCACGGGCCAGGCTTTGCCATGGCACGGGAGGAGGCTGCAGATGGGAAGTGGGGTTGACTGCAGCCAGGGGACACAGGCTCCTGGAAGAGCACGGTGGGCCACGTCTGGGTTCCCTGAGAGCTGAGCACCCTCCCTGCAGCGTGCTGTGGGCATGGCGCTGCGAGGACACAGTGTGCTCAGAGCGGATGCTCCCTTCCCTCCAGGGAGAGGAACAGCACCTCCCAGCCCTGCTCTCTGCAAATGCCACACCTGCAAGATTCTCCACAGGTCCCTGGAGCCCGGGGAGCTGAGCACCAAGCTCTCCAGCAGGACGTCCACGGCATCCAGGGTCTGCAAGGAGGAAAACGGTCACGTCAGTCTTTCTGCAGTCCCTCTCTCCCCGGGGATGGATCTAACCCCCCACGCCATGGGGAAGGCACCCCTGCCACCTCTAGGTGGCCAAGGGACACCTTGAAGCAGACAAGTTGCAGTGGGCAGAGGAGCCAGTCCAGAGGCACTGGACATGGCAAGGCCCACAAGAAGGAGACACAAACAGGCAGCATGAGAAGGGGGGGCACGTGGCCAGCGGGACTGGAGCAGTGGGGCTGCAGTGCTGTGCAGGAGACCCGGGGGAGCAGCTCTGCCCAGCCAGCAGCCCCCAGCAGCCTGGCAGCAGAGCCAGTGGCCCCATCAGGAGACACGGGCACTGCTAGCCTGGAAACGGCTGCGGTTACCTTCTCTGAGCTCTGCAGGGAAGTCTGGATAAACCGCATGTGTGCAGCGCGTTCCTCTTCCATCCTTGCCGGACAAAAGGGTAGGGGTGAGGAACGAGTAGGGTTGAAAGAAGTGTCTCGGCACTGCGGGGCTGCTGGGGCAGTGGGGAACAACGTGGGCTGCGCTCAGGGGTCTGCGCCAGTCTCTCGCTCCCGCTCTGTCCCGTCACCGTCCTGCCGGACACTGGCACGAAGGATGTGGCCTGCTGACTTTTATACAGTGCCCTGGGGTGTGACCAAGGGCACATCACAAAGGCACGTCACAAAGGGCACCGTGGTGGGTCACGGAGGGCACATCACTAAGGGCACTACAGTGGGTAACGGAGGGCGCATCACTAAGGGCCTGTCACAAAGGGCACCACGGCAACCTGCAATTCAGAACATGAGAGGCAGGGCGATGCTGGGAGGGGAAAGAGGCCTGTTTCCCCCAGTCAATTGCGTCCCCTTGGGGTGCCCTGAGCTCCACGTTTTGCTCATGTTAGATGGAGTCTTCTTATGGCAAGATACCCAGCACGTGTCCTAATGTTCAGAGACAGACTAGTCAAGAGGACTCAAAAACCCATGAGTAGAACCGTACGCGCACTGGAGACGCGCACTGGAGACTGCTCAGACGGCATTAGATGACCGATGTTTTCTTGTCCAAGTCCTGCGTTTAGGGGGTCAGGGATGGCGGGACGCAGAGAGGAACAGCACCTGGGCAGGCTCAAGGGCAGGGCAGCCACAGGCCGCTGTGGCAGAGGGGGACCGGCAGGACGTGGCAGAGAGGGACCGGCGGCTCCTGGCCAAACGGCTGCGCTCCAACTGGGAGCAGAGGCACGCATGGGAGTTCCAGCGGCTGCGGGAGCTCACCCAGCGGCAGGAGCAGATCTGCCAGCTGCTGCGCTCCAAGGAGGCAGCGCGGTGCAAGCTGCAGGGGAAATGCAGCACCAGCACGCCGCCGCCCGTCAGGCACAGAGCCTGCAGCATCAGCTGGCGAAGGAGCTGGCCAGAGGAGCCTGGAGCAGCAGCGAGGCCCGCGGTGAGCTCCGGAACGAACTCAGCAAGCTGCGCTGGGAGAACAGGAAGGAGCAGCCGCCCACAGCCACCACTCCCAACGAGCTGCTGCTGCTGCTGCAGAGGAGCTTCTTCCTAACGTCCAACTCGGAGCCGTTCGAAGGCGAGCAGCCAGATGGCTGCGGCGAGGCCAAGGCCAGGGCCTGGCACCATCTGCAGCCCCTCCTGAGCTGCGGGTCCATAGGGCCCTGCCCATTGTGGAGCCTCGTGGCACACAGCTCCCGCAGCGGGCAGCCCACGGGCACTTCCAAACTGGACTGTGCCACGCTGTGGGAATCCCGCCACAAGCAAGGGCCGGGCCGGGCCTGGCTGCTTCACAGGTGCACAGTGCTCTGGGCTCCAGCGGGGAAGGTGAGGTCCAGGGCATAGGAGCCACCCCATCTCCAGCCTGGGGCCTTCCTCACCAAGCACTCCACAGTTCTCCATCTCTCCAGTGCCTGCACGTGGTGACTGTAACCTTGACTTCCAGGCAAGAAAAAAAAGAAAAGGTTGTGAAACTAGAAGGTGAGAAGAACAATATTTGTAAGAGCATGTCAGCAATTGTGTTGTCAGCACAAATCTAGCCCGTGCTGAGCTGCATTCAGAATATTCTGAGATACTCTTGATACAAATTGAAGCTTTTAATTCAAAAACAGCTCTTGCAACTGCACTTCTAAAACTGCTTTTTAGATGGCTCTAAAAAACCCAAGGGAAGTATGAGCTTTACACCCTTTATTCTGTAAGTGACCAAACCTGGTTGTCGTCTTCACGTCACACCTGTAGCAGCAACACTTCTCGCTCTAAGAAACATGTTTTGTAACCTGTATAAATCCTTCGTAAATTGTTTCTCACATTAATTGACCTGGAAAATAATGGCAAAAACTCATAGCAGACCTGTGTCTGCACCACTAAGCGAAACCAGGCCAGGAGGTAACACACTGTTTAACCGATAGCAAGTTCCTTGGTCTGATTTTAGCCTGGGGAGTCACCCAGACAGATGAGGAACATGGGGACAGAGCTGGGGAGTGTCTCTGGGCATCACCCAGGGCTGACTTGTCGCCACTGATACTTCATTTGTCCATGAACTTGGGCATCCTTAGTGTAGCAGGAGCAATGGTGGAGGCACTCCTGGGATGTGGGATGTATTCACTGCTCAGTCCTGTCCCTGGAGCAGTTCCAGCACGGGCAGGGCAAGGAGATGGTGTTCTTGTGGGACCAGACCTATATTCAGAAATGATGCTTGGCTGTCACCCAGCGGCATGTGCTTGCAAAGTTTCTCATCTAGGAGCAGCTTGGACAGATGATCAGGTGGTGGCTCCTTTAGGATGCCCCTGTCTCCATCCAGCTCTGGTTCCTGGAGCTGGCTCAGTCCCTCTGTGCCCAGTCCTCAGTGCTAACCTCTTGGCTCTCGGGGTCCAGGCAATGGTGAGGGAAGATAGGCTAAGCCTACCTTTCTTCCTTGTTTCTGGCTTCATGAATCACCGTGGTCTCCTTCCTCCCTGGAGTGGGGAGGGTTTTATTGGAGGGTTTGTCTCTTTAGGTTATTAGATGTTTTAAGACTTTCTTTTTATTTCTGCTTCCAGCTTTCATGCAGAGGATCTTTAAGACTGGCAGTAGTGAGAGTCTGGTCTGTAAGGCATCTGGTAAGGAAGAGTGGGTACAGTGGCCAGACACTATTTGAGGAAGAGGGAGACTGTAACAGATGACTGAATGAGAAAGTGGGCTCCAGGAGAGGCTTGGGGAGTAGTCACTCTGATCATCTGGAAGCCTAAACCCTTCAATGACTCCAAGTACCCCTTGCTGAGGTGAGTAGAGTGAGAGAGGACGCCTGCAACACCGGAGTGGAGCGGGGAGAGATCAGCATCCAAGAGCCTCAACTCAGAGCGACAAAAGCCATTGAGGAGGGAGCCTCAACTCCTCAACAGGCCTTGCCCAGGAGACGGCAGCTCAGCTCTCGCGAGTAGCTGACTGACCGGGGGCGGAGCCAGCAGGCTCGGCGGCAGCTGTGAGCGCTTAAAACCCTGCAGAGGGAGCGCGGCGAGGCAGTTTGCGCGGGCAGGCGAGTGGGGCGAGCGCCTGATCAAGAGGACTCGGCTGGAGCGCAGGAGGAGGAAGGACTGCTTGCTTGTGCAAAGAGACGTAGACGGACCGATCAACCAGATAGATCATGGTCACCACTCGATCAAAACCTGTAGTGAGGAATAACGTGGGTACCCAGACTGAGCCTTCCTGCAGACATGCGGCCGTGCAGGTCCCTGGCTGCAGTGAATGCCTGAGCCTGGCACTTGTATCGGAGAGAGCCAGGGACACCGCTTGTGTGCAGTGTCAGCAAATAGATGACCTGCTAGAGCAGGTGGTTGAACTGAGGGAGGACGTTGAAAGGTTGAGAGCTATCAGAGAGTGTGAAAGTGAAATTGATTGGTGGAGCCACACCCTAAGGCAAGGGCAGAGGGAAGTGGTTGAACAAGTGATAGATCCCCTTCCCTCCTACCATCAGACAGAAGGAGTAAACTTAAGGAACAAGGAAGTATGGAGGGAGGTCCCTCCTCGGAGAGGTATGCGAAAACCCTCGCAATCCCTTCCTTCCTCCCAGTTGCCCTTGAGCAACAGGTATGAGGTCTTGGAACTACAGGGCCAGGTAAATGGTGATGGAGGGGTAGATCCATCCAGTAAGTCACCTAGGGCTTGTCGCTCACCCCCATGCCTTAGAACTTCCTCAACAAAGAAGAAGAGTAATTGTGGTGGGTGACTCCCTTCTGAGGGGAACAGAAGGGCCCATTTGTCGACCTGATCCATCCCACAGGGAAGTCTGCTGCCTACCTGGGGCTCAGATTGGAGATGTTAAAAGGAAACTCTCTGATCTGGTGCAGCCCTCTGACTACTATCCGCTGCTGGTTTTTCAGGTTGGCAGCGATGAAATTATTACAAGCAAGGCAAGGGCAACGAAGAGAGACTTCAGGGCCCTGCGACGGCTGGTTAGAGGGTGTGGAGCACGAGTGGTGTTTGCCTCCATACCTGTTACTAGCAAAGGTGAAGAGATAAATAGGAAGAGACTGCAGATCAATATATGGCTATGGGACTGGTGCCAAAGGCAGGGGTTTGGGTTTTTCAATCATAGGCTGCTATATGAGACACCTGGTTTGCTGGTGGCAGGTGGGATACATCAGTCCCAGAGGGGGAGAAGGTTTCTGGGGCAGGAGTTAGCAGGGCTCATTGACAGGGCTTTAAACTAGGTAGGAAGGGGGAAGGGGAGATGATAACTGGGCCTGTTGGGGACAGGCCCAAGAGAAACATGCTAGGGCTTGAAGAACGGCAGACTAGGGAGAACTCTCAATCTATTGTTTTTTGCCCAAAAGCGTTGAAAATTGCAGTCCTGTGACCAGGCTCAGCACTACACAAATGGAACAAAGCACCTGAGTGTCTGCCACCTCTAGAAAAACACACGAGTAGTTTTCTCTGAACTGGGCCGCACTACAACAAGCTCAGCTCGCACACCACGGAGATAACAGGCTCCAGCTGAAGCCAAGAACTTCCCAGCTCATGCAGCAGCACTTCACTTACCTGCACAAGGAGGATTTAAATTCCTGAGTGGCCTAATCCCACTCCTGTCCTAAAACCACCCCAACCTTGTCATTAACATCACAGGAAACGTGAAAACACTGTGCACAAGCAGAGTGATTTGCCTGAAGTGACAGAGCAACCCAGGCTGACCCATTCCCTCACTAACAAACGGGAA